AAAAAACAGAACTTTACAGGCCCAATAGATTGTCAATAGCTATGGTTACAAAGAGATCAGATCGTTTGACAGTTACTTGGCTCTCTGTAAGTTAGAAAAGGTCAACTCATGAATCCACGTATGATTTTTGCTGCAAGAAGACATGGTCAAATAGTGCAAGAAACTCATGCAAAACACACAGTCTTATCAAAATATGTGGACTTTTCTTCAACATCAAACAAATCAACCTTTGCATTAACTGAAACCTGGAAACTTGGTTTTCTGGAATATATATTAAGATAAAAACAGTCCTTGAACCCTTTGAACAGAACCTTATCAGGTACCCTGAACAACTGTTACAGGGGTATATCTTCAAGACCTTGGCTGGCAGATCAGTAAATTCCAGTTAAAGAGACAAATATCATCCTTGGGTCATTAGAAGGTCAAGTAGAAAGCTCAGCCTTAGACAGAGGAATGAAATAATGCTTTATATTTTGACAAGATCATGCATGCTATTGGCTGGGAATGAACTTGAAGGGAGGAAATGATAGAAAAAAGAAAATTGTTAAATGGCTATCACAGTTGCCTAGGTCAGAGAGGATTATGTCTTGGATTAGTCACTTTCCATTGCTTTCACGATAGGAGGAAATGCAGACTCAGAGGTGTCACCGGACAATTTTCAAATAAGTATGATGAAAAGGAAAACTGGAAAAAACAAACGATCATTAGAGGAACTACATCCTGAATCAAAAACAAATTTTTTCCAGTCCTTCTACTCCAGGCCCCAAAATCACAAAGCTCAGATATTTCAAAGGACAAGTTCTATCAAAGTATTGAAGAAAAAATGACCTCTCTTGTCTACAAACAACTGAGAAGAAGTACAAAGGAGAAAGAGCTAACAACTTCATTTTATAAAGGTCCTATGACAGTGTTGTGAAAACTGAAGAAAGACTGTTCAACAAAAGAAATAGCTCAGTGTTATTTCTTTTCTTTAAGTAGATTTTATTGATTATGCTATTACAGTTGTCTCATTTTTTTCTCCACTTTATCCCCTTGTACTATGCACCCCACTCCCACCAACATTCACCCCCCACCTTAGTTTATGTCCATGGGTCGTACATATAAGTTCCTTGGCTTCTCCATTTCCTATACTATTCTTAACTTCCCCCTGTCTATTTTGTAACTACCAATTATGCTTCTTACTCCCAGCACCTTTTTCCCCCCAATTTTCCCCTCCCCTTCCCCACTGATAACCTTCCATGTGATCTCCATTTCTGTGATTCTGTTCCTGTTCTAGTTGTTTGCTTAGTTTGTTTTTGTTTTTGTTTGTTTTTGGTTCAGTTGTTGATATTTGTGAGTTTGTTGTCCTTTTACTGTCCATAGTTTTGATCTTCTTCTTTTTCTTAGATAAGTCCCTTTAACATTTCATATAATAAGGGCTTGGTAATGAATAATAACTTGGTTAAGTTATTTCTTAACTCCTTTGACTTTACATCATCTGGGAAGCACTTCATCTGCCCTTCCATTCTAAGTGATAGCTTTGCTGGATAGGGAAATCTTGGGTGTAGGTCCTTGCCTTTCATGACTCTGAATACTTCTTTTCAGCTCCTTCTTGCCTGCAAGGTTTCTTTTGAGGAAATCAGCTGATAGTCTTATGGGAAGTCCTTTGTACGTAACTGTCTCCTTTTCTCTTGCTGCTTTTAAGATTCTCTCTCTATCTTTAATCTTGGGGAATGAAATTATGATGTGTCTTGGTGTGTTTCTCCTTGGTCCAATTTCTTTGGGACTCTCTGAGCTTCCTGGACTTCCTGGAAGTCTATTTCCTTGGCCATATTGGGGAAGTTTTCCTTCATTATTTGTTCAGATGAGTTTTCAATTTCTTGCTCTTCCTCTTCTCCTTCCTGGACCCCTAGGATTCAGATGTTGGAATGTTTAATGTTGTCTAAGAGGTTCCTCAGCCTCTTCTCAATTTACTGAATTCTTGTTTTCTAAGGGAGGATCCCAGCCCGTGAAGTCCTCCGATTCACCGCAGATGGAAGAATCATTCCAGACACTGGTTGCCTGTCAAAGAAAAGGGATGGCGATTGCCTCTAATGGGGAATATCTCAAGCCCCTGTGCTCAATGGCTTTTATTGAAAGTGTTATCTGCGGGGGGTGGGTATCAGGAAAGTACAGGTAATCTAATTACATCAGTATGTTAATGTTTACAGAGAATAGGTGATGTTTTGAAGAAGACAAGTGGCAGGAAACACACCAAATTGCTTGGTTCCGAGATGAGTGTAAACATAATGGCGCTAAACGGTTTAGGGTTGGGGTCCATAAATAATGTAAACTTCCTTTCCAGCATGAGCTGGATATCACAGGTTGAGGGAGAAACAAGGCATGCTTCAAGAGGTGTAATTTACTTCTAGGCCTGATTTCCCCCAGACATCACCCAATCCAGTTTAGGGCTGCATCTGCCTTTAGTATTGTTTCAAGCCTGAGCCAGGTGGGTGGAACAGAGCATCCAAGAGATAAGGAGACGTCTTTCAGGTAGAATGAGGACTCTGGCCATGACAAAGCCGAGGGGTAGAGGGTCTTTCACCCCTTCTCCATGTCTCCAAAGTCCTTCCCTGATGGCCCCTATGCAACTGTGCCTGTCTTAAGTTGCCCCTGCCATCGAGGGGTCTTACTTGTCATTGGCTAACCAGCCATCCTCTGAGGCCAAGCAGGGTGATGTGAGGGAGGCAGGGGCTGTGCCCCTGCCAGGGGGACAGGTTTTGTCTCCTCAGTGGCCTATTTTCCCAAGGCCTACTTGCTCAGCTCCAGCGTTGGGCCCCTCTTATCTGTTGGCAAGGCTACTGTCCCTGAAATCAGGTGGGATAATTCCCAACATTTCCTCATCCTATTCTGGTTGAATGTTTATTTCTTCCTTCTGTTCCAGATTGTTGATCGGAGTCCCGGTTTCCTTCCTTTCACTGTTGGTTCCCTGTATATTTTTCTCTTTATTTCACTTTGCATAGCCTTCACTTCTTCCTCTATTTTGCATCCATACTCAGTCATTTCTGTGAACATCCTGATTACCAGTGTTTTGAACTCTGCATCTGATAGGTTGGCTATCTCCTTGTCACTTAGTTCTCTTTTTTTAAGTATATTTGATTGATTATGTTACTATAGTTGTCCCAATTTTTTTCTTCTCTTTATCCCCCTCTGCCTTGCACCCTCCCTCCCACCAGAATCCCACTCCCCTCCACCAGTCCTCATTGCTAAGTTCTTTTTCTGGAGCTTTGATCTGTTCTTTCATTTGGGCCATATTTCTTTGTCTCAGTGCACCTGTAATGTTGTTAGGGGTGGAGCCTTAGGTATTCTGCAGGGCGTGGCAACCTAAACTGCCTGCGGTGCTGTCTGTGGGGGAGGGATAGGTGAGGGAATAATACCTCTTACTTAGTTCTCTCCTCACTTTCAGCCACTTCCCCCACTACCCACAAGCAAATTGGGCCCTTTTGGTCCTGATTCCTGGGTGGGTGGATTTGTGTACATTCTAGGACCCTAGGGGGCACCCCAGTGAACTCTCCTGTTAGGCTGGGAGTTTCTCCCACTGCCACAATCCCCCAAGTTTTTACAGCCGGTGGTTTTGAGGCTTTCTTTCCCACACTGGAACCCTGGGTTGTGCAGTGTATCTTGCTCCCCAACTGTTCCTCCTGGTTTATTCGCATGCAAATGTGGGACCACCCGGTCTGCCTGCCACCTCCTCACCCAACCGGTCTGTTACCTTGCCCAGTCCATGCCACCCGAGCTGCCCCTCCTACTGGTCTGGATGAATGTTTCTTCTTTAGCTCCTTGGTTGTCAGACTTCCATACAGTTTGATATTCTGGAAGTTCTGGTTGTTTTTTGTTTTTAAATTTCTTGTTGTCCTTCTTTTGGTTGTGCGAGGAAGCAAAGTGTATCTGCCTATGCATCCATCTTGGCCGAAGTCCAGCTCAGTGTTATTTCTTAATCCATGTATAAATTTGACATAAAATATTACCAGATAGACTTCTGAATGTTATTTTCAAAACCACATCATGTCCTAGTAGTGTTTATTCAAGGTATGTAAGGACATCTAATGTAACTTATCACCTAGAAGTATTAAAGGAGAAAACTGTATATGATCTTCTCAAAAGTTTTCATACACTTATTTTTTGCTAAGATTTATCCAGTAGTTACAACAGGTCACAATATTATCTAAATGCTTTCAAAATAGCTTTCAGCGGCAGCTTTTCCCTGTTATATGGTTAACATGTGAATACATGTTGATAGATAAAATTCAAAAGACAGAAATGATGTGAACATTAAATGGTTGAAATTGAACTTCAAATACCGTCTTATACAGTGGTACCCTGGTACTCATTAATTCATTCTAGAACTCATGAGTAGTGCCAAAACCAATAAGTACCAAACCATGAAGAATTTTCTTTTGTGGGGTGACGTTGTGACTCATAGACGTTCGAGTGAGGAGCGCCGAGTGCTGAAACATTCTTTTCTCATTAAAATGCGCCAAGTACATGGTTTGACAAGTTCTGAATGAACAACTACCAAGGTATGGCTTTTAAGGTATATCATTTTCCTACCTCCTACAGACTGGAATGTCGTCTTGTAATTTCACACAAGACAGAAATAAATGTTGTTTACTCAGCATATTACATCAGTGAAATCAGTTCTGTATGTCGCAAACTAAAAAAACAATAAAGATGTTTAAATATAACTATTGTAGAACCACTTATCTCTATTTCAAATTTCATTCCCAATGCATCTAGGGGAAAATCTTAAGATCAAGATATTAAACTTTGCCCTGGCTGGTATGGCTCAGTGGGTTGAGCACTGGCCTGCAAACCAATAGATCGCCGGTCAGGTTCCCCATCAGGGCACTTGCCTGGTCCCCAGTTGGGGGCATGTGAAAGGCAACCAATGGATGTTTCCCTTGCACACCGATGTTTCTCTACCACTCTCCCTCCTTTCCCCTTTTCTAAAAAAGAAAAAAACGATATTAAGATTTTTATAAATACCCACCTCGCAGGGGAGATATCATGACTACGAAGGCGGCCTTCCCAGCGCGAGGCTCATCCACTGCACCCCGCATGTGCTGACCCCTGCGACTTCCCCAGACATGGGGAACGGGATGCAGAATTTGTAGTAGCGGGGGACTGCGTTTGCCTCTCCCCTGAAAAAATTTATGAGAATATTGTCACCGTCCCTTAGTAATATGCCAAGATAAACCTGATCTATCATTCTAATGTCAGTTTTACTTGATGGCTCAAAGAAATTAAATAATTTGTGTAAGATCACAAATATGTATTTCCTAGATTTAAATTCTTATATGTGCTGCTCCAAAGCCTATGGTTGACTCACCATCTTTTATTGCATCCTATTCTTATTAAGGACTTAAATATAACATTAGCAGGAATTTTTAAATCAAAACTTGATCATTTTAACATATTCTCCCACTTGTCAGGAATTTTCATCAATTTTTATCTTTTGTAAACAGTACTCCAGAGGAAAAAGTTTCAGAAGCAGTGGCTTAGGTAATTTTACTTTACAAATCTAAGGAATTTAAATGTTGAAACCTAGCCCATTGGCTCTGTTCAGAATAAACAGTTAATGTTTATGACTTTTTCTCCATCATTTTTCCATTTTTAGACTTGGTATATGTGACTTCTCATTGTAAAGAAAATGGGCACTTCCATTTATTGGCCTGTAAGTACAAGGCATTGTGTTACATATATATAAATAGACATTTTATGTAAGTTTTTTTTTTTTTTTATGGTGGGCTATCTAGTAAGTGTTATTTTCCTTTTACAGAAAAGAAACGGAGGTTTTGGGAAGTGAAAAAACTGACCAAAGAAAAGGTGAAGCATTGAACAGTACATATCTGGAAATACTGAAGTTTTAAATTATATGTTACTTGAATAAAAATAAAAAAAGTTTAGTTCAAATAGAGAGTATTTCCTTACATTTTACCAAAGGAAAGTAAACCATTATTCTAGCCATCCAATTCAGAGAACATCATCAAAACTATTAAAAATTTCCATTAATAAATAATCTGTTGAAAATTAGTGTTATAAAAGTACATTTCAAACTTTTATACAAACTTTAAACAACATAACAAAGATACGCATCGCACAAATGATAAATAAAATACACAACCACTCCCAGAAATATTCACATATATTTATAAACATACTTGATGGCTTATACTTTCTTATGACAAAGATGTAAAATATGCAAAACTTTTCCTCGCTTCTAGGTTGTATATCATATGTGAGGTCACTTAAATCCTAAAATGGTATAATCCTACCAGCAAGCCTGCGAAGTTGGAACTATTATTCCTAGTTTATAAAAGATCAACCTAGAAAGATTAAGTATTTTACCCAAGGATGCCCAGCTAAACAAAATGGAAATGTAAATTAAGCAAACCAAATTTTAAAAATCAACCTTAAAAAAAGAAAATAAACAAATAAAAAAGAAAAAAAAACAAAGAACAGAAATCAAAAAAATCAACATTAAAATTACACAACTCTCAAATAAAGAATTGTGTTCTATTGTTGACAACATGCAAGATTTCATTATATTGGCTTAGACTTAATTTACCTCTCCTCTTGGATTAGCTTTATATCCTTAAGTAGAATATTGTCTTTCTAAGTGTAATATCTATAAAATAGGAATCCAGTTCCGACCAGGTAGGTGTGGGCAATATCAAAGGTGATATTGCAAAGGCACTCCCACGTGCCCATAAGTGGTTAAAAGGTTGTTAATATTTTACTGCTATTTATATCACTTTTGAAGTAATAATTCAGTTTTCCATTTGAAAATACAGGCAGTGTTTTTAAGGGGGAAATATTGAAAGAAAGGTAATACTTTTAAACAAACTGATGAAGAATACCTGGTATTGTTTATCCCAGGTGTTCTTCCTCAGTTTATTCTGATGGCAGGTATTCTGCCTGTTTTGCTAAGTTTCTCTCTTCTCATTGTACCTGGCACTTTATAAGCCCTCAATAAAGATTTTTCATTACATTGATTGTCTTATCTCATGAAAAAGATAAAAGACAGAAACTACATTTGTACATAAAGTTTTTGATAGATTTCATATATTTAGGAGTATGGTCACTGATTTCGCATATAGGACATCATTAAGTCAATGTTGAAGGCAATTAAAAAATAATAGCCTCACCAGAAACTGTGGTTAAAACAATTTAAATCTATGACACTTCTTTCCTAAGAATATTGCCGGGCTAGTTCAAGAAAGCTGAACTCAAGCGTGCCTGAGCTCAAAGCCCAGCTAAGCCCGAGATCTTGTCAATGCTAATTTTGTAGGGTTCTAAACTCTTACCTTCCTTAATATTCATTTACAAAAACAATGAACTATATAATTATTTTTAAAAATGCAAGCACAGATAATGTCTTTTTAATCTAAAAGCAAAGTACACCCTTCACAAGTATGATAGAAACCTAGAAGCCATACACATGATACATTTTATCACATGAAAGTTGAAATTTTATTACTGACACATTTAGAAAAATCCACCAGAAATAAATTGCAAAAGATAAAGGACCAACTGGGGAAAAAATTGCTACAAATATTATAAACAAAGGGGTTTGCTCTTGTTTCAGCCCCCAAGAAATTTTATTTCTAGGAATTCTCCATACAAGTAGCCTAATGATTCACAAAGGTGATTTGCAGCACTTCTGTAAAAGAAGTGGCCTAGAAACAGGACTCGTTGGATAAATCATATTATCTCTATACCATTTTATACTTAGTAGTCATTAAAATAAAAGCTTCGACTATGAAAAGATTTATAAGACATGTCAGATGAAAAGAGAGAGTTCCTAAACATTTTATAGCATAACTTCTTTCTATTGGCAGGCCTGGAGGCTTGTAGAAGAGACCATAACCCTGGCAAGTGGTCTGCGAGTAGGATGGAAGATGTGTAATATTTATATAATACATACTTGGAGTGTTAAGATTTTTTCCACTTACTTCCGAGTATTTTTTTAAAAGAATAAAAAGTGTCTGTCATATTAAGTGGGAAAACGGTATTCTATTTTCTAAAGTATATAGTTTTCTTTGATGATTTTAAAGTGATGCTTTATTTCTTTCAGCCACAAGCAAATTTAGAAGAGTTTAATCTCAAACCAATATTATCATGAAAGTAAATTTACTATTCTGCACTCACACCTGAAAATAGTGCCGGTGTTTACAGTAATGATTATTTATGACATTCAATGTAAGAATTTCTTCAAGAGGAACAATTCTTCTCAAGTGAAAAACTAATTTGAAATGCGTTCTCTATCACCTGTTAGAAGTCTAAAATTTATGCCTTACCTCTCTTCAAAAGAAGATTTGAGATCTTTTGCAAACATCACAAAGAACTTAACAGAATATTTTCCTTTGGTCTTAAATTGAGTTGACTTAATTTATTCAAACATTATTGATTATTTTTCTTGTGTAATAGAAAGATAAATAATCACAGCAGCTCTAAAAGTTATCTTTATTTTAATTCCAAAGTAACTGGAGTTATTATTTCTTCTATGAAAGACATTCTTTTAATGAACACACCATGACAATGCTTAAAATCAATACTTTCAAGAACTATTTATTATTTTTTGTTAATTATATGTAGCTTTCCTATTATAAAAAACTATTTTAATTTTGAAAAATAAGTTATTTTAACAAAAGCAATACATTTTATAGTAGTTTAAAACATCTACTGTAAAATGTCAAATATAAAATAATATTAGTAGGCACTATTTTCCAGATTAGTGCAGTTCCATTAATACAGAAGTACAATATGTACAGTCACAACAAATATATTCTGAGAATTCCAGAACCAGAAGAAGAACACACACATTAATTAAGTCAAGGATTTGGAAAAAGCAGTAAGAGTGTTTGCTGTTCTAAAGGTTTTGCTCCAAAACAACATTTTAATTTAAACTTTTTAGATGAGCTGCAAGTGTAATATCCAATGTTACTTCTTCATGTGTACAACTCAGACATCCCAATTCCCTTGCCTGAGGCGTCGCGCGCCCCTTCTGTGCCTTCAGAAAGACAAGAAATGGGGCCAGATTCCACTTCCCTTCTCTTCCCTCCACTTGTCTTATTTCTTGGAGCTCCTTTTGAAGCTAAGAAGGAAAAAGAATTTGGCCTCTGAATGAATGGTTAATCCCCCTTAATAAATTCCTCTGATCAACCGGCTTCTAATTAGGAGTGTGCCTTTTCTCCTGCTTCAGGACTTTTCTGTGAGACTTAGAAAGTCTGGTGAATATTATACACGAAGAATAAACGCACTGTGTTGATGCAATTGGCATTACCCTCCAATTAACATAACATTTTCTTCGCTTTTTAGAAAATATCCTTGCAACAGGGTTTTTTTTTAAAGATAAACTGAATAAAACCTCAAGATTATTTTATCTTACGACGATCTTTTTTTTTTTTCCTCCTCTACTTGAATGAAGTCTCATCTCTGGAAAGTACAGTCTCTTTTCATTATCCCAATGGAAAATTAAGAGCAATTGTGTTAATGTCTGTTTGCTATATTTACTGGATGGAACCAAAATCCAATCAGGTGAATTCAACTTGATCTGAACCAAGAGAGTAATTGTATTAAAAATGTTTCTATATGAAGTAGAATGTCCACTTTTTTTTTTAAAGGGAAGACAGGTATATGGTTGGGCAACTAGACAAGATTTTATAATGATTATATTTTAAACATATGAATTCATACCTGATGAAAGATATACTGACCTTGGGTCTGGAGTCATGTGTTCTACACCTGGATTTATTAAGTCCAGATGGCATCTCTGTGTTACAATTATTTTTCACTCAAAAAATTTATTCAATGTACATTTATGAAGTTAGCATAGCATAGAAGGTCAGTAAATGGTAGTTTGTTTCCCTTTCCCTTGTCGGTGTGGGTGCCTGTCTCCTCACTCCAATTCACCCTCCGTTATCACTTTTTAAAAGATTTATCACAATAAACTCTAATTGTTTATTTTTCTAAAGACACCCAAATACTGTGAGCTGCCTAAGCACAGGAACCATGGCTTGTCTCATTTTAATATCCTAGCCTCTGGAACATAGGAGATTTAATACAGTTTTGTTGACCTGGATAAAATTACATTTACTAATTTGAAACAGCCAAACTCTTTTGGCCTACCCACCAGCCATCC